ACTCAAGTTAACACCGAGAATCCTTCATTGCCAAAGTCAACTGGAAGGGCGGGGAAAGGAACACTGATCTGTGTAAAAGTCACAGCATGGAAGGCGTATTTGATGGAGGTAAGGAATGTCCAGTTTAAGGATGAGTCCGTCCCACACATGATGAAGCACAAGCCGACTTTACCACAGGACGCAGACGACTCTTTCCAGAGATGCTCTTCGGTGTTCGCAGGGCTTCTGTGCACTCAGCAGCCTCGGTGTGGCCATGCTTGCTCACACTATCTCTCATCCATGGCCAACGTGAGGAAGACTTTGAACTTAGAGAAAACTGATTTTGTTATAGAGGATTTTGGGGAGTTACACATATCATGAGAGCCTTTTAATTTTGTTGAGAATCCACTCTGTTTTATGTGATTTAATTTTGTAAGGATTTCTGGATATGTTAACTTGATTGTGGTAATTGTCATTTCATAATTGCCATTGCTCTAGAGGTGGTGGGATCTGGGACAATGGAGCCAATAAATGAGGTATACTAAAGTCTCATACAATAGCCAGCTTTATTCAGAGCAGCAGACAGTTTATACTCTGAGGGTTAAGAGAGGTCACCTGAGTAAAGTTCTCTTGAGTTCAGGCTGTATACAATTACAAGGACAAGCCACACATGGCAAAAACATGGTTTTCTATAAAGCAGCAATTCTCAACCTGTGGGTTGACTTTGTGGGTCAAACGACCACTTTCACAGTGGTTGCCTAAGACCATTGGAAAACACAGATATTTATACCACGATTCATAAGAGCAGCAAAACTAGTTATGAAGTAGCAATGAAAGTAATTTTATGGTTGGGGCACAACATGAAGAACCGTGTTAAAGGACTGCAACATTAGGAAGGCTGAGGACCACTCTAAAGAGGCAATATAAAGGATGGCTTAAAGCATTTAATTGAATAACAACGCAAGCAATAATGAGTAATCCGAAGTAAACTCACTCCTATCTGCTACACCTGGGAGGAGCATGAAATCACATTCCAAAAACAATTCTGTGTTTTGAAGAAACTGAGGTTGTGTTTTCTTGGAATTTTCTCATACTACATATATAATCTATTGACAAATCCTGGCAATTCCACTTGCAAAATGCAGTGGATTTCACAGGGTTAGCCACATCTGTGAAAGCTGCGGCGTATTTTCGCCATGCAATCAGAGCGCCCCCTGGAGGTCGGATCACGCTCTACCTCACTATTCTCCCCTGAGCTCCCAGCTAAAGGGAAATGTGGATCTCAGTGGCCTTGGCTCCTGCTCATCCTGAGCTCCTTAATCTCTGCTTCCTCTCACTCTGGCTACTGGCCTCCTTGCTTGTTCTTGAATATTCCGCACACATTCTTATACAAAGGCCTTTGCTTTTGCCTTCTCCTAGGATGTTCTCTCATGCCATGGTTTGGAAATGGTGTAAATATTTCTCAAATATTCATGACTTAAAATGCAATCCCCAATGTGAGCTACTAGGAATGGGAACTTAATTTACTGTGTTTACAGCTGGGGCCTTTGGAGGGTATCTAAAATAAGGTCATCAAGATGAAGTTCCCACTGAATCTTGGCAGCTTCCTGACGACAAATATGACCAAACACACACACACACACACACACACACACACACACACACCCCACATATACACAAAGCACACACAAATCATGCTTGTTGCCGCTATCAATATTATACCTGATTCAACGCAATGCCCATCAAAATCCCAGCAAAATTCTTCAAAAACCTTGAAAGAACGGTACTCAACTTCATTTGGAAAAACAAAAAACCCATGATAGCCAAAACCATCCTGTACAATAAAAGAACTTCTGGAGGCATCACAATCCCTGACTTCAAACTCTACTACAGAGCTACAGTACTGAAAACAGCCTGGTATTGGCATAAGAACAGACAGGAAGACCAATGGAACCGAATAGAAGACCCAGATATCAATCCACATATCTTTGAAACCTGATCTTTGATAAAGAAGAAAAAAAATCAAATGGAAAAAAGAAAGCATATTTAACAAGTGGTGCTGGCATAACTGGATATCAACATGTAGAAGAATGAAAAATAGACCCATATCTATCACCATGCACAAAACTCAAGTCCAAATGAATCAAAGAACTCAATATAAAGCCAGCCACACTGAACATTATAAAAGAGAAAGGGGGGAGTACACTTGAACGCATTGGCACACGGAACCACTTCCTAAATATAACCCCAGCAGCACAGACACTGAGAGAAACAATTAATAAATGGGACCTCCTGAAACTGAAAAGCTTCTGGAAAGCAAAGGACATGGTCAACAAGACAAAACGACAGCCTACAGAATGGGAAAAGATCTTCACATCAGACAGAAGTCTGATCTCCAAAATATACAAAGGACTCAAGAAATTAGACACCAAAAGAGCACATAATCCAATAAAAAAAATGGAGTACAGACCTAAACAGAGAACTCTCAACAGAGGAATCTAAAATGGCTGAAAAACACTTAAGGAAATGTTCAACATCCTTAGTCATCAGAGAAATGCAAATCAAAACAACTCTGAGATTCCATCTTACACCTGTAAGAATGGCCAAGATCAAAAACACTGATGACAACTTATACTAGAGAAGTTGTGGGGAAAAGGGAATACTTATGCATTGCTGGTGGGAATGCAAGCTGGTACAACCCTTTTGGATGTCAGTGTGGCGATTTCTCAGAAAATTAGGAAACAACCTTCCTCAAGACCCAGTAATACCACTTTTGGGTATATATCCAAAGGACACTCAATCGTGCCACAAGGACATGTGCTCAACTATGTTCATAGCAGCTTTGATTGTCATAGCCAGAACCTGGAAACAACCTAAATGTCCCTCAACCAAAGAATGGATAAGAAAAATGTGGTACATTTACACAATGGAGTACTACACAGCAGAAAAAAAATAATGACAGCTTGAATTTTGCAGGAGTGGATGGAGCTAGAAAACATTTTGAGTGAGGTAACCCAGACCCAGAAAGACAATTATCACATGTACTCACTCATAAGTGGTTTTTAAAACATAAAGCAAAGAAAGCCAGCCTACAAACCACAATCCTAGAGAACTTAGACAACAATGAGAACACTAAGAGAGACTTACATAGATCTAATCTACATGGGAAGTAGAAAAAGACAAGATCTCCTGAGTAAATTGGGAGCATGGGGACCTTGGAGGAGGAGTGAAAAGGGGAGATGAGAGGCAGGGAGGGGAGCAGAGAAAAATGTAGAGCTCAGTATCAATTAAAAAATATTATACCTGATTCAAGCTCAGCACACTAGGCAAATTCATCAGCCCTGAACTTCCAGAATTATGAGCCAAAATTAATATTTTTGGGGGGCGGGGCAGGGGTTCGAGACAGAGTTTCTCTGTTGCTTTGGAGCTTGTCCTGGAACTAGCTCTTGAAGACCAGGCTAGCCTCGAACTCACAGAGATCCACCTGCTTCTGCTTCCCGAGTGCTAGAATTAAAGGTGTGTGCCACCACTGCCCTAACCAACCCTATTTCCATTTTGTTTGAGAAAGATAGAGCGCATGTGTACATGTGAGTATGGATATGCCCATGTCCACACTCGGTGTCTTTTCGCTGTCTGTTATTTACTCCCTTGAGAACCTGGAACTTGGGGGATTGAGGCTAGGCTAATGGCCAGCAAACCAGTGGTCCTCTTGCTGTACCTTTCCCCTGCCCCTTCTCCAGGGAGCCATCTCCGCTGCCACTTTTCTTTAGTTCAGCCTTTTTCTGTTGTTACTGTAGTAGAAGTGGTCTCGTTATGTTGGCCAGGCTGGTCTTAACTGCTGAATCCTGCTACCTCAGTTTCTCAAGTAGCCTGGACTACATCATATGCCAACAGAGAATGTATCCTAGTTCCACCAAGAGCAAGTCCCAGCATTTAAAAAAGGTGAGCATTTGCCGGAATGAATAACCTCAGTCCAAATAAATGTGTTAGCTACTAAAGGGAAATAAAATTAATGTTAATGTCTAATATCTGGTTAGAAGTTAACTGGATAGATTAATAATTAAATTTAACCTGAAAATTAACCAATGAAGTTGTAGCCAATCTATAACAGCCAATAGTCATGAAAGGTAAAAGTCCCTTCTGAAAGCTCACGTATTTGGCAAAGCTACTTACTAGGTACTGACTGTTCATTAATTTAATAATACTTACTTGACGGCTAATATACTAGGCACACAGGGAGCTTATTAACTTAGTTTATCTAGCCAAAACTTATTCTGTTTCTACGGTAGTGGAGATGAAACCCAGGGCCTTGTACAAGTTCTACTACGGACTCCATCTGAACAGAGCTGACATACTCATCTTTTCCTCCAGAGGTGACTGATCCAGGGAGAAGCCCAAGTGCATGGCACCAGTCCTCACCACCAGAATCTAATGACGGTGCACATGGAACTGCACGGCTATGGGGAGAGTGGCGGGCAACGGGGTTAGGCAGTATACACAATGAGGTAAGGGACATCGGGGTAGACAGGGAGACTAGGAAGACAGACAGGAGAAGGTGCAAAGAGAACAATACACTTCTAAAAGACCACACAGTTAGGTGTGGTGGTGCCTGCCTGTGATGTCAGCATTTGGGAGGTTGAGTCAAGAGAACTGTAAATTACAGGAAAGCCGGGTTACAAAAGAACAGGGCCGGTGAGATGGCTCAACAGGTAAAGGTGCCTGCCACCTGACAACCTGAATTCAACCCATAGAACCTATATAGTAGACAAAGAGAAGGCTTCACAGGTTGTTCTCTGACCTCCAGATCTGAGCCATGAAAGATACACACACACAAACCAGAACACACCTTGGTTACTGGCTGGCAGTGGAGTCCTTGTGACATGAGCTAGCTTTTGTTCCCCAACCTTCATCAATCTGTCCTACAAATTACACTTTACACAGAGGGGTTTTCTTTCTGTATGTTTACACAGACTCAACTTCACTGTATATATCCCAAAGGAAAGTATTTATAGAGTCAAGAGTTCAAAAAAGGACTTTTATTTATTTGTAAAGGCATTAATAAAAATCTTGACACACTAAGAAAGTCACAGTTCTACAGTTGTGCTCAGTCACAGCTTTGGCAGACTGACTTCCACGCGCTCCATTTCCACCGCTGGGTTCCTCAAAGTGTGCTCCTATAAACACGCTCCACTGGCGAGTGAGGCACAGAGCCCAGACAGGGAGAACACTGGTGATGACACCACTCAGCCAAGAGTCCCGAGATGACAGTGAGACTTCTGTTCACCCACACCAACACACCGTCTCTGTGGGAGAGAGCTGAACCTGAATTTGAAAGAAAGAGTCTAGGCAGTCAAACATAAACAAAAGAACAAAGGCAACGTTGTGAGTTCAACAAGGTCAGTTCTACAAGACCTAGTTCCAGGACAGACTCCAAAGCTACAGCAAAACCTCCCCTTGAAAAACCAATAAACAAACAAACAGCTTCCATTTCAGAGCTGTTTCCTGCCACAGTTGGTAATCATAGACTAACCCTCTAAAATGGTAACTAAGCCCCCAGTTAAAAGTCTTCATTTATAAGAGTTGCCTTGAACATGCTGTCTCTTCACAACAACAGAACAGTAATTAAGACAATAGAAAATGCCTTATATTGTACATTGCATATTTATTAAAGTGTGTGTGTGTGGGGGGGGTGTCCTGGAGAGGTGGCTCAGTGGTTAAAACACTCACTTACTGCTCTTGTTAGAAGAATCAAGCAACTTACAACCACTTATATATAACTCTAGTTTCATGGGAGCCAATGCATTTGTCTAGCCTTGAAGGCACCAGGCATGCACATGGTACATAAGCATACATGTAGGCAAAACTTCCATATACACAAAAAAGCTTATTTAAAAAGTACACGGTGCAGTGGTGGCGCACGCCTTTAATCCCAGCACTGGGAGGCAGAGGCAGGCGGATCTCTGGGAGTTCAAGGCCAGCCTAAGAGCTAGTTCCAGGACAGGCCACCAAGGCTACAGAGAAACCCTGTCTCTAAATAAATAAATAAACAAACAAACAAACAAACAAACGAACAAACGAACGAACGAACGAATAAAAATAAAAAGTACATGTGTGACTGGTGATATGACTCAGTGCCAGAATATTTGCTTACTATGTGTATGAAACCATGGATTCAATCCCTAATGCCCCCTCCAAAACAACAACAACAACAAAACAAAACCCAAAAACCCAAACAGCCAAGCCCAACTGGTCAATGACACTGCAATTATCCTCACCCTAAACCAGATTCTAAACTAGGTGTGATACTGTGTATCTATATTCCCAGCACTACAGAGACTGAGGCTAGACAATATAGACTTGAAGGATCTTTTCTCATAAAAGCATGGCTTGCCCACATAACCAAAGCAACCAAATATTTGGGCGGTAACACTTTGACACCATGAGAATTTCATGAAGTGAGGATAGTTCGATATTTAATCTAATTTTGCCAGTGTTTCATGGGGCTGGAGAGAGGGCTCAGCAGTTAAGAGCACTTGCTATTTTACTACACAACCCAAGTTCAGTTCCTAGCACCATGTCAAGCAGCTGACAACTACATGTAACTCAAGTTCCAGGGGATTTAACACCCTCCTCTAGCCTCCATGCACCCACACATATTTGGCAGAAACACACACACAGAGTTTTAAAAAATAAAATGTCTTCAGTATAGTTTTATATAAACTTTTTGACATTTTAATTTTTAAATGTTCAAAGCACTCATTTCCCACATAATGAAAGTTATGCAAAGGTTAAGATTAACTCTTACAATAATAACAGACTTACTGCTTAATTTGTATGTGAGCACTTCCCTTCTTTTTTATTTTGTCTGAAACCCTGTAAAAAGAGCAAATAAAAAGTTGAAAGCACAGGACACACCCTAGACAAATGGGTGAGTGAACATTTGTAATGAACTAGTCTAATGGTAAGCACAGGGTGGGGGTGCAGAGAAAGGAGGATCAGCAGTTCAGAACCAGCTTCAGTTACACAGGGAGTCTAAAGCCGGCTCCTGCTGGGTGTAGTAACCCACGCCTTTAAACTCAGCACTCAGAAAATAGAGGGATCTCTGAGTTCAAGGCTAGTTGGGTCTCTCATTTTAAAAACAAAACAGAAAATAAAACAAAAAACTCCTTAAACCCAACGAAGTGAAACACACCTGCCAATCCCAGTGTTCAGGGTCTTGACTTCAAGGCCATCCTGGGCCAGTGCGAGGCTAAACCATAGAGTAAGACCCTGCCACAAAACACCATGAGAGTGGGAATATAGCTAGGTGCTAGAGTATTTGCCTAATGTGCAAGAAGGCACTTGGTTTGATCTCCAGCACTACAAGAACAACCAAATGAACAATCTGTTTCACATGAGATGCTGCACTAATTTTATTTAATAGAATACCATCAGAAAATAAGTTTATAGTATTCCAATATGCTTTAACGGTGACTGAGCCAAGCCTGGCATGGTGGCACACACCTCTAACCCCAGCAACTGGATGCTAAGGCAGGAGAACTGCTACAATTTGGAGGCCAGCCTAGGCTATATAGTGATTCAGAAGCTTGGACCACAGAGTGGGACCCTGCAAAACAAACAACCCCAAACAACAGAAACAAATCACAAAGTAAAACACTAAGCTGCAGTTAAGTTTTTCTTCCTTTATAATCAGTGATCCTCCTGACCTCAACGATGTACATCTATCTCACTCACTAAAGCTGAGGGTGTAGCTCAGTAGGACAGCACTTGTCTGCCATGTGAAATGTCCTATAGTCTGCAACCAAGCCAGCAATCATTAAATACCAAAACTCACTAAATAGAAGGGCTAAAGTTCAAGAAAAAAATAAGTTCTCAAACATTTATTATTTTTCCTGGTTAGACTAGCCCAAATGCCCTCCTTTGTCACATAAATGCCATCTACATTTATCTATATGTGCTCTAAATTCACATCCAAAGTCACGAAATGTACTGAAAAGTGATGTTTCCAATGAAGACCACAGAGCCCATTTATGTTACTGCAATAACAAATCTCACTCTGCTTTGATTTCTACAAGAAAGACTGAAGAGGTGAGCATAGTCACTAACAGCAGAATGGATAAACAGATCACTTTCCTACTTATATAATGCAAGGTAATACAGCTACAACTATACACAAGAATGTAGATTAAGCTTACCAACAAAATGCTCAACTTCACAAAATGGACAGGCTGGGATTCAGCTCAGTGGTAGGGTTTGCCCAGCATGTGCAAGGCCCAGGATGTGATGATCTCTAGCACTCAGAAAATCCAGCCACACGAGTCTGTGTAAGAACCCATCCACAGCAGTACAAATATATCCAGGCGTGACAGTGAACACATGCAGGCCCAGATCCTCAGGAGGCTAAGGACATTATATGAACCCAGGAGTTTGAGACCAGCCTGAGGGATACAATAAGCTCCAATCCACAAGGAAAAACAAAACGTATCATCCTCAAAGCAGAAAAACTGAAATTGAAAACTACCTTAGGTGTCACTTAAATTCTAGCTTTCTGACTGCTAGAACTGCAGTGTGCACTGCCATTAGAGAAAATCTTCACCAACCCCGCAACTGACAAAGGTCTGATCTCCAAAATATATAAAGAACTCAAGAAACTAGACCTTAAAAGGCTAATCAACCCAATTATAAAATGGGGCACTGAGCTGAACAGAGATCTCTCAACAGAAGAAGTTCAAATGGCCAAAAGACACCTAAGGTCATGCTCAACTTCCTTAGCGATCAGGGAAATGCAAATCAAGACAACTTTAAGATACCATCTTACACCTGTCAGAATGGCTAAAATCAAAAACACCAATGATA